CCTCTGTGAGTTGGAGGCCAGCTTGGTCTACAGAGTATGTTTCAGAACAGACAGAGCTATGTAGAAGACTTTGTCTCAGAAACAAAACAAAAAGAAAGAATGAGCAGGAGAGAAAGCTTAGAAGTTAAGAGCACTCTCTGCTCTTCCACAGAGATCCTGAGTTCAATTTCCAGCAACCACACGGTGGCTCACAACCATCTAAAATAGAATTTGATGCCCTCTTCTGGCGTGCAGGTGAACAAGTTGATAGAGTACACACATGCATTATTCATATACACTAAATAAATAAATAAATGCTTTTTTTTTTTAGGGGAGAGAGAGATTGGAGGGAGAGAGACAGACAGACAGAGAAGCTAGCACATGGTGCCATGTCTATAGTCCCAACTACTGGCAGAGTGAGGCAGGTGAGTGAGTTGAACCTAGAAGTTTGAAGCCAGCCTAAACAAGATAAAGAGTAAAGGAGAAGAGAAAAGAAGAGATGAGAGGGGAAGAAGGGGCAAGCAGAGGAGGAGAAAAAGGAAAGAAAGTCTTATTGGCATTGATTTCACTGGTAGTTGGAGATGGGGAAGATGGCTTAAAGATCCAGCAAATTTGGAAAGCAAAAGTTCTGTGATCTTCTTTGATCATCTCCTCCTAAGTTGTTGTTTCCAAGCCAAAAAAAATAAATAAAAATTAAAAAAAATAAAAAATTCCAGTGGTTTAGTTTTAGTGTTTGTTTGAGTTCAGTGTTTGGTAATGTTGAGACAAGTTCTTACTTAACCTGTGCTGGCCTTCAACTCCAAGTTCTCCTCTTTCTACCCTCTGTGCTACCGTGCCCTGCTGGCTCCTATCTTATTAATATTCCCTATGAAGCTCTCAGAAGTTCTCTAAGGTTGCTCAAGCTTCACTCAATGTATACAACATTTGCTGAGTCCCTACTCTGGGCTCGTCACTGTGTTGGACACCCAGTTATAGAATCCTGCACCTCCAGGATGCTGAGCCAACAGTCACAACCTTGGCTGCTTCCCAGACCCTTTGGTCATGTTGAAAGTGTTTCTACCTTCACCTGAGCACATGGCTTTCAAGTCTGAAGATAACACACACATACCCTGCTTCAGTTGCGGCTGGAAGAGGCCTTGGGACTAAACTCCGACCCAAAGGAATGGAGGTGGAGACCATGCATGTCTGCTTCCATTTCCCATTGTCAGTCCTCATCGTTCTGCCGTCCTGCTGCCTGGAGCTTGTCCACTGACAACCTGAGCTCAGGTAGGCAGACCAGTAAGACAGAAACAGTCTGAGTCCTCGACCTCACAGAGCTCTTCAGCAGCCCACCACCCCTGCCCAGATTTCCAGGTGAGAAACTTAACGCTTCTTTTCTAAGCAGTGTACAGCGATTTGAATGAGAATGGCCCCTACAAGTACATAGATTTTAATATTTGGTTCCCAGTTGATGGGTTGTTTAGGATTAGGAGGCGTGGCCTTGTTGGAGGAGGTGTGTCTCTGGGGGTGGACTTTGAGGGTTCAAAAGCCAATGCCAATGCCTCCCCCGCATGCAGATCAGGATGTAAACTCTTAGCTACTGCTTCAGCACTAAGCCTGCCTGCCTGCAGCCACACTCCCTGCCATGATGGCCATGGACCCACCCTCTGAAACTATATACAAACTCCCAATTAATGCTTTTGTTTCTAAGTTGCCTTGGTCGTGGTATCTCTTCACAGCAACAGAAAAGTAACGAAGGCACCGTAACTATTTTAGATTCTTTTTTTTTTTTTTTATCCTTCTATGGGTGACTTTTGGTTCTGTAAATCAAACCCAGAGCCTTGCAAATGCTAAGTGTATCCTGTGTACTGTCTCCCAATGGAGAACACCCCACACCTTTTCTTTAGGTTTTATGACACTAGGAGCAATTTCTCACTAGTACAACATATAAGACCACGCTCTCGGCCTGTGGAAGCTGAGCCTCCAGTCCTGCTGAGAACATGCTTATGCTGCGTTGTGCCTTGTGGACAAAGCAGTAAAGAACTCAAGGGACTGGGTCGTCCCTGTAATGGACCACTTGCCTTTGGTTAGTAAGGGCCTGGGTTGAATTCCCAGCACTGCAGAAAAGACCTGCAATGCCAGCTACTAGGAGGTGGGATCAGAAGGACTGCTGGGTTAAGGTCTCCCTGGCTTGCAGAATGAGTTCAAGACCACCTCGGGCAACTTAATGAGACAGTATCTCAAAATTAAAGGTTAAAAAAGAGAGCTGGATGAGGACTGGAAGATAGCTCAGCAGCCAAGAGTGCATATGACTTTTCAGAGGATCTAAGTTCGCCTCCCAGCATACACATCAGGAGATCTGAGGCTTCTGGTCTCCAAGGGCTCCTGAACAGGTCACACAGTCACACAAATACATACATACACACATGAATGAAAGTACATTAAGGGGCTGGAGAGATGGCTCCGCAGCACTGGCTGCTCTTCCAGAGGTCTTGAGTTCAATTCCCAGCACCCATATGGTAACTCACAACCATCTGTAATGGAATCTGCTTCCCTCTCCTGATGTGTGTGAAAACAAAACACTCTTAAATAAATTTTAAAAAAAGTAAAATAAGCTGGGTGTGGTGGCACAGGCCTTTAATCTCAGCACTTGAGAGGCAGAAGCAGGTGGATCGCTGTGAGTCTGAGGCTAGCCTGGGCTACATAGCAAATTCCAGAGCAGGTAGGACTATATAAAAGACTTTGTCTTAAAAAAATTTTTAATTAAGCAAACTAAGTCTTAGAGAGAGATAAGAATATGGGGGAGGGAGAGAGAAAGAAAGAAGACAGGGAGGAGGAAGAGAGAAAGAGGAGCCGAAAAGAGAGAAGAAAGAAAGAAAGAAAGAAAGAAAGAAAGAAAGAAAGAAAGAAAGAAAGAAAGAAAGAAAGGAAGAAAGAAAGAAACAGAGGTATATGAACATGTTTGCCTAGCATAAATAAGAGCCTAAGTTCAACACTTACTACAAAGCCCTGCCCTGTCTGGCCTGGAACTCACTATACAGATCAGGATGGGCTCACACTTGCAACAATCCTCCTGTCTCTGCCTCTGGAGGGTTGAGATTACAGGCATGAGCCACCAAGCTCTGTTTATTCCACTGAAACCCCATTGTAGATGTAGATGCCACCAAACCAATTTTAGTTAAGACTATCTGAAAACATACTCCCAGACATACAAAAGGTGTGCGCTGGGTGTCTCTTCTTTTTGTATTTATTTTTTCAATGAAACGTATGTATGTGCATGTATGTATGTATGTATGTATGTATGTATGTATGTATGTATGTGTGTGTGTATGGACTATCTGCACCATATGCATGCCTGGAGAGCCTGCAGAGGTCGGAGGAGGGCGCTATATTCCTGAGGACTGGAGTTACAGGTGGTTGTGAGCCATCCAGTGGAAGCTGGGACCTGAACACAGGTCCTCTGCAAGAGCATCGAGTGCTCGTAACGACTGATGCTTCTCTCTGCCCCACACACAGGCTTCCCTTAATCTACTCAAGCTGACAACAGAAGTTAGCGATCACGTGTGATGAGGGTTGTGTATGCATGTAGGAAATATTTCCACTGAAAAGTTTGCATCTTACAGAAATTCAGACCACAGTAAACCCTCCTCCAGGCAGGCAGACAAGCCCAAGTATGCTAGAGCATACTAGTGACCCTGTTATTGCCGTTGCTCTTGTTCTTGTTTTGTTTTTCGAGACCTGGTTTCTCTGTTGTAGCCCTGGCTGTCCTGGAACTCACTACACAGATCAGGCTGGCCTCGAACCTGGAAATCTACCTACCTACCTCTGCTTCTCAAGTGCTGGAATTAAAGGTACCTGCCGCCACCACCTTGGTGCAAGATCAAATGAGCACTTTCAAACACGCTTGCCACCTGTTGTTCAGATTATGAGTGAGTCTAAGCCACAGGGCTGCCCCCTAAAGGCCTTTGCTTTCTCAGACACTAACCAGAGCTGAAAACTGAAAGCACTATCCAAGCCAGCCCCCACTGACTTTCTCTGCCCATGCAGACAGAAAAGGCAAGTGTCAAAGCTCAAGGCCCCAGGTAAGGGTCATGGGTAGTATCTTTGGCCACTTCTCTGCAACCCAGAGAGCTAACCAAAATTCAGGGAAGTGGGTTCTAAACCTGCCCTGGGCACTATGTAACCCCAGAGAAGAAACTCCCTCTGGCTCCTGATTGGTGAGCAGAGCACCATCTCAACTCTGGGAGACCTTGGCCAATTTCACGCATCAAACAACAAAAGAAAATGAAAGATCATTTCTTAGAATGTCCCAGCCAGGCATTCTGTGACTCCAACTCTGTCATAATTCTGATTTCTGCCTTCCATTTTCCACTGAGGCGCCAGAAAGAACTGGCTAGGTTCTCAGAGAGCCACAGTGGTGTGGACCCTCTACCAAAAGACACAGTGGTAGATGGGAGATATTCAGGGGACAAACACCTGTGCTGACAGAGATGGAAATGAGAGGAAGTGCCTTTGTCGCCTTAGAGAATGGAGATAAGACCGAAGAGCGGGAGATTCTCAGCCGAAGTTGACAAAGTTAGAAGATATTTCGGTTTGTTTTTTTCTGCCTCCTCATAGAATTCTGCATTGACTGAACAGTGACGCCGGCCCAGGAGTGCCCCCACTAGGCCAAGCTGGAGCCTTTCTACAGCTCACTCACTAACCTGATGACCACACGGGCTAGGTGGGAACCCGTGGGGAGAGGGGGTAGACGCAGCCATGTCTGCACACCATGCATTGTGCCCAGGGCTGGGGCTGGCTAGTCCAAGCTCTACAGCCTCCTGTCTGCTGCCTTTCCCAGCCCCCTCTGAGTTTCTGAGGTGGGTAGGTTAACTCTTTTCTCTTCTATCCACAAGCTGGCAAGAACCGAACTCTCTGAGCGCCCAAATGTCCCGGGATGATCCTGCCAAATCCGAAAGGCGCTGGGAGTGGCCCGGAGGCCTCCGTCGCCCACTTCTCGGAAACGTCGCCTTGGCAGGACACCGGGGCAGGACTTAGCCGCGATGCTCACGCCACCCGAGCGACGCGCCCCCGCAACTCAGCTCACAGCCACACGGGCTGAGCGGCCTGGAGACGCGCAGCTCCGGGCAAGGAGGAGAGGGTGGCCGGGGCAGCAGGGGCGGCGCGGGCTGGCAATGCACCCCGGAGAGGGAATTCCATCCCAACGCTGGGTATTTGTTGGGAGGAAATTCGACCCTCCAGGAGCAGAGGGCTGGTGTCTGCGCCCTTTCCTGTCTGGGCTTAAAAAGGAATTCTCCATCTGCTGAGAAAGGCTCGGGCTCCCGCCGCGCGGCGGGATCCAATCCCTCTGAGATGTGGGGAGTCCTGCAGACACCTTCGCCCCCCAAGGTCCTCACTCTGACCTGCTCTTTCCGCGCGGCAGTCTTCAGCGCTTTCTCCTCCCCCTCGCCCCCCCACCCCCCTCCGTCCCCCTTAGTCTGGCCTTCGGTCTACCAAGGGGATGCTTGGCCAAGCCTATTTTCAACGCTTTTTGTACACACCACAGGGTAGGAAGACACAAGTCAGTTTGATATTGGTGGAATTTCAAAGCAAAAGGCGCTCGCATTCTCCTGCCTGCGTGTAATTATTTTCTGGGTCGTTTTTCTCGTGTGAGGGGAAGGAGGCAGTAAAACCTTCTGGGAAACAATCTGACGTTTCTAAATTTAGTTAATCAGTCTGTAGGAATTTTTTTTTCCCTACACCATGTATTCAAGAATTTTTTTTTTTTTTTAATGCTTACGTTGTTTGAGTCATAGAGAGTTAAAGCAACCCCACAGTTGTGTATGTGTTGGCGCAGACGGCTGAATGAAACTACACACACACAGTTCTCGACCTACGAAGTAAAAAGCCATTCACAGGCAAACAAGACTAAGCTCACGTTAAAAAATAAGTCGCAAAAAGCGCTCTGCCCAGCGTGAGTTCCCGCTGCTGTGCAGTTGGGTGTGCTCAGTGGCTTCACGCGTGATCGTGCAGGAAACATGTCTATTTCAGGTACACACCTATATGGAGGAATGCACACCCCACCGTTACTTTGGGGCCACAGGGGAATGCCTGGGGCGTTAATTTATCAAGGTAGACGTTTCCTCGGAGCTTGATCTCTTTCTAAATGAGCATGAATTAGCTCACTACTTCCTCCTACACAAAGCAAAGCGATTAAAAAGTCAGGTCCCTTCCATTACGACCACCAGATGGCTATCACTCGTCTGCTTCTCTCTGATCTTCCCACTTCCGTGTTCATCCCTCAACCTCTTCTCCTCCCTGTACGAAACCTGCATCCTTTAATGTCTGCTACAGGTTTCCTGGTTTATATACGAGTGTCATCCTAAGTCTTGTGAACCAAAAGAATGAAAGAGGCAAGAGAGTTATTTTCACTTAATCTGTTCATTCGGCTTCTTTCTTTTTTTTTTTCTATGATAGAGGTTTTTTGGTTTGTTTGTTTGTTTGTTTCATTTTTTTTTAAGATTTTATTTTTCGGGACTGAAGAGCTGGCTCGGCGTTTGAAAGACTGCTCTGGAGGAAGACCTGAGTTTAGTTCCCAGCATTCACACTGGGTATCTCATTATCACCAATAACACCACACACACACACACACACACACACACACACACGCACGCACGCACATGAACATGCATACGCACTCACATACATGCACACACACCATTTCAAAGTAAAATACTTTTTTAAAGATTTATCTTTATTGTTTTTAATTGTATGTCTCTGTATGTGTTTGTGCATATAAATACAGTAAGCCATGGAGGCCAGAGGTGTCAGAGCCCCCTGGAACTGGAGTTAAGGTTGTTGTGAGCTGCCCAACGTGTATAGTGGGACTTGAACTCAAGTCCTTTGCAAGAGCAATTCATGCTCTTACCCACTGAGTCACGTTTGCAACCACCAGTGCTAGAGACGGTGCTCGTACCATTTCAATAAAAATATCTAGTACAGTATGTTTTGGCTTTTTGAAGCATTTCAGATTGTCTATTGTCCTTCTTTACACGTTTGGGCTTATAAATATTTATTTATTGGATTGCACGTGTATGTGCCTGAGATTAATTTTACTTGTATGTGCACCATATGTGTGTAGTGTAGTTCAGAGGACAGAAGCTTGTGAGGCACCGTAGGAGTGCTGGGAATTAAACTGAGGTCCCCCTCAAGAGCAGCAGCCACTCTTGACCTCTGAGCCATCTCGCCGGGCCTTTTATGTGCTCGTTTCACAGTGCTTGGATCCAACTCGGGATGATCTCATGCATGATAGGAGAGGAGTAGCCAAGCACCGAGCCACGCCCCAGCCCAGCCTCCATCCTGGACCGCCTGTCCTCCACCTGAAAATATTCTCTACCTTGGGACCATCCTGGGTTCTTCTTTTCTACAGCTGCCTCATTCCATACTTAAGCCAGGGCTCCTGGTACCTGTCATAGAACCCAGCTCATGCAGTCACTCAACCAACCCTTGCTAAGGGCGTGATGGAAGGAGGTAGGGGGTAGAGAGGGAGGATGCAGGGCCCATCTGGGTATAGTTTCATTTCAGGAAAGCTTGCTATTCCTAGAAGTGGGGGGGGGGGTGTTGGAGGAGCCTCAGGAAATGTCTGAGATTCATTAATTAGTCTTTCTTCTCCCCCTATGGCCCCTAGACTGTGGTCTTGTACATAATAAAAGTTCAATAAATGTGTGCTGAATGAAAGAAGATAAGCTTTGACCAGAAGATAACCTAGAACCCCTGCACAGATGTAGCCCATGATAGCTCAGTCTCCAAGTGGGTTCCCTAGTAAGAAGAAAAGAAGCTGTCTTGGACATGAACTCAGTGGCTGGCTCTTTGATGACCTCCCCCTGAAGAGGGAGCACCCTTACCAGGCCACAAAGGAAAACAATGCAGACAATCCTGATGAGACCTGATAGGCTAGGGTCAGATGGAAGGGAGGAGGACCTCCCCTAACATTGGACTGGGGAAGGGGTATTCGAGGAGAAGAGTGAGGGAGGGTGGGATTGGGAGGGGATGAAGGAGGGGTCTACAGCTGGGACACAAAGTAAATTGTAATAAATTTTTAAAAATTGAAAAAAAAGTACCGGAGCCCCAAACGAGGAGGCAAGATCGTTCCTCCTGCTGGCTCCTGCTCCTGATGCTGCTGTTGCTGGTATGTTAAGTGGTCATGAGAAAAGAGGCAATAGGAAGAAACTGGAGATATCCTGATGAGACTTTGAAGATTAGATTTGACTCAAGAAATTCAACGCCCCTAATCAGTAGGAAGTAGTTTAAAAAGACCTCAGCACAGCCTCTCCCTACTAACCGCTGTCTCTCCTAGCTGGGGTTGGGTGTTGGAAAGGGTCAGGGTGAAGAGTGTGGTAGATATAAGAACACAAATAAAATAGATTTTTAAAAATACCTACATATATTCATAAATAAAAACAGCATTTGATAGCAATAAACAGCAAGAATACACGCCCTCACCAAGACACCTGATGTAGGGTTTTTGTTTGGGTTTGTTCTGTTTTGGTGGTTTGTTTGTTTATTTATTTATTTATTTTTAAGACAAGAGCCACCATGCCTGGTCCCAGGTGTGATTCTTTTTTTACACACACAAACATATCATGTTTTCCAAGGCTGGAAAGATGGTTCAGTGGTTAGGTTACTTTTTGCTCTTGCAGAAAACCAGGTTTCTGGCCTGCAGAGATGGCTCAGAGGTTAAGAGCACTGGCTGCTCTTCCAGAGGTCCTGAGTTCAATTCCCAGAAACCACATGGTGGCTCACAACCATCTACAATGAGATCTGGTGCCCTCTTCTGGCCTGCAGGCGTACAGGCAGGCAGAACACCGTATACATAATAAATAAATAAATCTGAAGAAGAAGAAGAAAAGAAGCCCAGGTTTCAATTCCCGGCACCCACATGGAGGCTCTCATTCATCTTTAACTACAGTCTCAGGGGATCTGACCATCATCTTCAGGTCCCCATGGGCATGCACATGGTTCACATACATCCATACAAAACATACACATAAAAATGTTAAATACCTAAAAAAAATTTAGTCGTGTTATCTTAGATAGGACCTCTGAATACCCTAGGCTCAAACTCGCAAGTTAACTTCTCCCCACAACATGCCCCCAATCAGAGTAAAATTACAAATGCTCTGGATTCTTGTCTTGACTCCACCATATTAGCTTATTACTATAGTCAAAACATGTGGCTTCCCTGTGCGTCGGGCCCATCCTGTCTGAAACACAGGTAACAGCACTGCTTTCGACAGCGTAAGCCATGAGGGTCGATGCTTATGGCTCAGAGCAGTGTGAGGCTCCTGCTAAGGCTTTAGTATAAGCGAGACACAATTATCACTTCCTATTTTTTACACCCTGGATAAAGCTCATCTCCCTGGTTCTTCTTTCCTAGAGTCCTGTCCGTCTCTATCCTCCAAGCAGTTCTAAGGGCATCAGCACCCCTGATGCTGGCCTTCTCCTTCCTCCCCAGTGGGAAGCAGAACTCACCGCCATTTACTGAACACCAGGAGGAAATCTGAGCTCTGGTCTCCTCTTGTTTTTGGTGGTGGGGGGGGGGGAGACTGAAACTTTTGTTGATGTATTTTTTTAAATCATCATTTATTTTATGTGTATGAGCTGTTTTGCCCGTAGGCATGTCTGCACACTATGTGTGTGCTATGCAGGTAGAGGCCAGAAGAGGGTGCTGCGTACCCCGAGACTGCAGGTACAGACGGTTGTGAGCCGCTGTGTTGGTGCTGTAATTTGAACCCAGGCCCTCTGAAAGAGCAGCCGGTGCTCTTAACTGCTGGGCCATCTCTCCAGAGCCTGAAACGTATTTTCTATGCCATAAAATTCATTCATTTTAAGTATGAAGGTCCATGCCTTTTTCCTCTTTCTTTCTTTCTTTTCTTTCTTTTTTTGTCCCATGATGGTACAGGCATAAAAATAAATCCGTTTTAGAATATTTTTGTTCTCCCAGTGAGATTTTCTGATTCTCTACAATGAATCTCCCTTCCCATTTCCAGCTTGAAGCAACCGCTACTCTCCGTGTTCTTTTATCCATCAATCGCTGTTTCTGGACATTTTAAGTAGTTGGTACCATATAGCAGTTGCTTCCTTGTTCTGGCTTCTGTCTCCTAGCATAACATTTTTGAGGTTTGTCCGCATCCAATATGTATCAGCACTTCACTACTGTATCACCTGTGAAACTGGAACCATTTTTCTTGCCATGTTTATAAAAATCACACCATATAAAATATTCGGAATGCATAATGAGGTCTACCTGTTAGAGCTGGGAGGCAGATCACTTGGTAGAGTGATTGCCTAGCACTCAGGAGACAGACCCTGTGAGTCCCAGAGTTCAGGAGGTGGGGGCAGGAGGATCAGAAATTCAAAGGTCACAAACAAGGAAGATGGCTAATCTAGTAAAAAAAAAAAAAAAAAATGCCTACTGCCAAGCCTAATGGCCTGAGTGTGAAAGGAGAGAACGGACTCCCACAAGTTGCCCTCTGACTTCCTCCAACAAATAAATAATGAAAATGTACAAAATTCAAGGTCGTTCTCAGCTACACAGAGTGTTCAAGGGCAGCCTGAGCAATAGGAGACTAAAAAATGAAATGAAGCTGGGCACGATGGCACACACCTTTGAGCCCAGGGCTCAAGCACAGAGGCATGTGGATCTCTATGAATTTGGAGGCCAGCCTGATCTAAATACTGAGTTTCAGACCCTACCTAGGAAAGTAATGGTAGTGATAAATTAACTAAATAAAAACAAATAATTTTGACCTAGTTACTGTGGTCATTAGGTACTCGAGGCCCTAAGTTAAGTGTTCTATTTGAATCACCAAACTCAGACTTCACAAGAGCTTATGGGCCAAGCAGGTGGTGGTAGTTTACATCTTCAATGTTTGCAAAGACAAACCGACTTGACCAAGGTCACAAAGCAAGTAGGGGACTCAAATGCTAAGTCTTGACTCTAGAATCCAAGCCAGAATCCCTTGCCCTTCAACAAAGCAAATGGTCCTGTGCTGCATTCCTTTGTATCATCACAGAAAACAAAACCCAGGGAAACTCTGAGAGTAACTGCCTTATCCAGAGGGGAGAGGGCGGTGCGCTGGGACTGATGAGGCAGAGGCAGGCTGATCTCTGAGTTTGAGGCTAGCGTGCTCTACAGAGCAAGTTCTAGGAAAGCCAGAACTACAAAGAGAAGCCCTGTGTTGGGGGGGGAAAGTTTGCCTTGGAGGCTGTGTGGTACCCCTTTATGCCAGGAAGACTGGGAAGAAAAGAGTACGTCTTTACCTCTCTACCCACTGCTCCTGTCCAACAGAAGATGGGCATGTAGGGAAAAGAGCTTCCTAGGTATTTATACCTCTCACTATTAGTTAGTTAGTTAGTTAGTTAGTTAGTTAGTTAGTTAGTTAGTTAGTTAGTTAGTTAGTTGGTTAGTTGGTTAGTTGGTTAGTTAGTTACTTTGGTAGTAACTGAGTGGATGGGTAAGTGAGCGGTTTGCTGTGGGGGCTTGTTTGTTTTACATTTATTGATTTTGTAGGTGTGTGTGTTTTTACAGATATGTGTATGTGCCACGGCACAGATACATATACACACCAAAGAGGCAGTTCTCTCTGGCCAGGTGGCGGTGACACACACCTTTGAGCCCAGTGCTCTGTAGGCAGAGGCAGGTGGATCTCTCTGAGTTTGAGGCCAGCCTGGTCAACAGAGTTAGTTCCAGGGCTGAAACAGGGAAACACTGTCTTGGGGGTGGAGATAGAGGGAAGAGTCCGTTCTCTTCTTCTACTGTATTCATTCTGGGGTCACACTTAGCTTGTCAGGTTTAGCAGCAAGTGTCCTTGGTATCTGATTTTCTGAGATAGGGTCTTATAGCATCGACCTCGAACCTAATGGCAATCTTCCTAGCACATTGCCTCCCAAGCGCTAAAATTACACATGTGAGCCACAGGCTGCTCCAGCCCACTGTGGATTTTTATGTTGAAACATTGAGATATAGGATAACCCTGAGTCTAGAGTATTACAACTGAACACCCTGGCAAGCCTGGGCTCTTCTCTGGGGGAAGGTTCTGCTGGGACAAGCAGCCCGCCATTTCTCAAGCAAAACTGCTCTGGGGTTGTTGGAGTAACAGGAGGCTATCAATCCCTTTGTTTGGCTGAGCCTGGGTCAGACCTCATGCATATGCAAACGGCTCCCAAGGCGCGAGCAAGCTCTACAGCTCTACCGCTCTACCTCAGAGCGCCACCTCCAGTGTGCTAACAATTTAAGGCCGCATCTCTGCGGTTTCATGGTAAACCTCAGGCCCCACATTTATTCCAACAACTTTGTTGGCGACGTGTTACTACCACAATACCTCGGTATTTGTGTTGGCCGTAAGCTCAGCGGTGAGCTGTGCTCAAAACCCACCCTGTGACTTCTGAGATATCCAAATCCATCCTCAGGAGTCACAGGACAGGCCCTAGGAGTGAGGGGCACACCACACTCCACCGAGGAGGCCAGAGGGATCGTAGAAGGTGACCTCAAATTTCTGTAAAAGTGTAGACAGCTACCACAGGCACAGCCTGTTGGTGATGACACTTTTTTTGACAGCCTGCACCATCCTCACCCAGGCAGGATCCACAAATGGCCCAGCATCACTGGCCCAGCAAAAGTAAATGTTGGGATGTCTGTTAAGCAGCCGGATAGTGGCTCTCCTTGGGGTGGCAAGGGACCGGTTTTGTCCTGTTTCTCTGGTATCGCTGCGCACCCATGTCTTCACTTTGTGATATTTTCTCGATCTTATGATTTGACACTTGTTTTTGCGCAGAGTGCCCCATTAAAATCCATCCAAAAGAGATAAACTAAAATAAATATTTAGAATGTAAAGCCTGTGTTACAGCACCTGTCATGGCAAGAGCTGAGAGAAGCCGGCACTCACAGTATTACTCCGTGCTGTGTTACGAAGCTTTCTCTACAGGTTAGAAGTCCCATGCCTGCCATGGTGGAGTTTGTGGGGCTGGGAGCCAAGAGCAGGAAGAGGATGATGGCTTATGACGTCCATTCCGCTGTGGCCATACTCCAAGTCTACAGCCCCCCCGTCTGCTCCAGTGCAGGGCCCAGGGGCCAGGAGGAGGCTTCCTGCAGGTATGGTCCAGGCCTCAGGGTTTCTGTGGTTCTACAAACCAAGTGTTGCAGGACTTGCGTGGCATCTCCTGCCAGCCCTTCCAGCTGGCACATTATCAGTCCTCAAAGAACTTCACAGACACTGCACCCTCAAACTCCTACCCCAATCGATGATGCCCTCCCACCTCCTCCAAAAAGGCAAACAAAAGATCCAGTCCTTCATGACCCCTGGACATCTTCCTAAGGTGGGGCTGATGATAGTAAAGAAACTGAAACACAGAGCAGCACCACTTTTTCTTACGCAAACCTTAAAAACAAGCAGAATCACAAACAGAACCTTCCCATGGCTCTCCCTTCCACCACACCCTGTCCTAGGCTTCCCTCTGTAATCTCATGGCCCAACAGCTGAGAGGGGGGCTCTCTGCCACCCAGTTGGGAAGATTGTACATTAATCGCTGACGTCTGATTCATCTGTGAAGTCGGTAGAGCACCAGTATGCAACTAGGAGAAGTTGTGAGGGACAGTGCCCTATGAGATGATTCCTACAAAATACTGTATCTAAAAAACAAAAACAGGAGCCAGGCATGGTGGTGCACACCTGTAATCCCAGCATTCAGAGAGGCAGACGCAGGTGGATCTCTGTGAGTTTGAGGCCAGTCTGTTCTACAAAGGGAGTTCAGGACAGCCAGGGCTACACAGAGAAACTCTGTCTCAACAAAACCAAAAATAAATAAACAAACAATTTAATGAATTAATTAAAATAAAAATAAAAACAGGGGCTCGAGGAATAGCTCAGCTGCTAGGAGGCTTGTTGCTCTTCCATAGGACCAAAGTTTGCTTTGGTTTCCAGCACCCATGTGAGAGAGCTCAGGACTACTTGCAACTCCAGCTCAGAGGAATCTCTTCTTGCCTCTGTGGATACCTGCACACTATGGCATAGATACATACTGACACACACATATAAATAAAACTAATTTTTAAAAGTCTTAAAAAAGAAAAAGAAAGCAAATTCCAGCATTAGCACATAGTAAATAAAATGAAAGAGATAAAATGAAATTTCCTTTACCCTTCTTCTGTATGCAAGACGGTACTGGCCTCTAGCCCTGACCTTCCATGGACCCAGTAACAAGCTCCTTCCGGCTGCCAAACTCACAGACACCAGTTGGGCCTGCCACCAACACCCCAGGCTCTCCTGGCCGCCTTCACCGCACCCCACACCTCACACCCCACTGTCCCCAGCACTGCGTTCTGGTATCGTCCTTCACAGGCTCTTCCATCCCCCTTTCTCACACAAATGCACACATATGCACGGGCAAACGGTGACGGGACCTCTGTGCTCATGCTCAGTGCTAACTAGCGACAGCAGCACCATTATAAACATCTGTTTCTCAGAGGCCGTGGGCTGTGGATGGAGAAGGCAGGCCTACCCCCAGCTTCTACTTCCCTCCCACAATCCTAAGCCCCTGCCCCCAGCCCAGCAGCTGGCAGTGCTATAAACCAAGCCTCTTCCCCCCTCCACACACACACCCAATCCAACTCAGAGGCCATATTCACCCTAGCCGTGGTGACAGGTTGACGACTCCTATAACAGGCCCCTTTCCTCTTCTGGGGGTTCCTGCCTGTATGCAGCCTGGTGGAGGGGCCACCAGCAGGGCCGGAAACCTGCGAAGAACCTCTGGCTGCCACTGAGTTCTGTTACCAGAATGCATGTTTTTCTACACTTACAACCTTCCCTCCTTCCTTACGTCCCCCACGTTCCTAGGGTAGTAAATACTCGGCATATGCATTACATTTCCCATAACTTACGATTATTGGAAAAGCTTCCATTAATAGGCTGTTGATGAGGAATCTGGCCCTGAAGCCGTTTCAGAGTGACATTTCCAGGGCAAGTGGCTCCATACTTAGCACAGAGATGTCCATCAACTCCACAGCCGTCCTCCTTTCAGAGCATACTTCATTATTTTTTTTTTAATTATGAAAATATGAGTGAGGGATGTCATGACAGGAGGCCAGGCAAGAGTGTCAGATTCCTCAAGTTGGACTCACAGGAAGTTGTGAGCCACCGGAAGGACATGGTAGAGACAGGACTCTGGTCCTCTGTAAAACCAGCACATGCTCTTAACCACCGGGCCATCTGTAGCTGTCATCTTGGCTACTGTCTCTACCAGGCAAGCTAGCAGAGAAGAAATCAGCTGAAATACAGACCCTGGGACAGGGTGTTAGATCTCACGCTGAGTATGTCCAAGGGCTATGGCTTAATCCTCAGCACAGGAAGGGGGCCGGGTCAGCCTTGGATCCAATGGCAAGAAATAACCCTCAAGTCATCACCTAGCTGCTGAATGACACTGGTCAAGTTACTTTACCTTCTGAGCCTTGGTTTTCTTTCCCCGTCTAAGAGGTGAAGATGACTGTAGATCAGCTCCTAAAGTCTTTAGGCAGATTGCATGAGCTAATATACATAACGGGATTAGCACTAAGGGCTTTCGTTATAGTCCAGAAGACAGCACCTCAATATCCTAATCCCAAAATGTGTCTTGCTAGTACAAACTGTCTATAATTTATTCTAAAAATTGTGTATGTGTGTGTATAGTATATCTTAACTTTTGGTTTTTCTCTGTGCTGTTAATCATATTCAAGCCCAAAAGAACGGCTTTTGTGAATTATTCAACTCTTCTCAATCCTAACTGAGGATAAACTCTGAAAGGAGAACTGAAAAAGAAAGACAAAGAAGAAAAAGGGAAACTCTGGATGAGATGGATGTAGCAGCTGGCATGGTGGCACGTGCCTTTAGCACCAGCACACAGTTTGCAGAGGCAGATGGATCTCTGAGAGTCGGAGGCCAGCCTGATCTGCGGAGTAAGTTGCAGGCCAGCCAGAGCTACGGAGTAAGACCCTGTCTCAAAAAACAAAACAAAACAAAAAAACAACAAAAAGCAAACAAAAAACAGAGAGAGAGCTATACTAAAATTCTCACTTTTAAAAAGACTTTTAAAATTATGTTTAATTGTATGTATATGTATCTGTGTATTAATCTGTGCACATGAGTGTGGTGCCCTCAGAGGCGTCAGATCCCTCGGGACTGAAATTGTAGGTGTTTGTGAGCTGTCTGACGTGGGCGCTGGGAACTGAACTCCAGTCCGCTGGAAGGCAACAAGTACTCTTAAGTGCTGAGCCATCTCTCCAAGCCCATAAAATTATTATTTTAAAAATTATTTTTGCTGAGTGGTGGTGGCAGTGGCTGCCTTTAATCCCAGTATTTGGGAGGCAGAGACAGGCAGAGCTCTGTGAGTTTGAGGCCAGGCTGGTCTACAAAGTGAGTAGACAGGCTCTCCAGAACAGCTAAGCCTACACAAATAAACCCGTTACAAAACAAAGCAAAAATAAAAATATTTTTTTCAGCTGGCCAGTGCTGCCACAAGCCTTTAATGCCAGCAATTGGGAGGCAGAGGCAGGCAGATCTCTGAATTTGAGGCCAGCCTGGTCTACAGAGTGAGTTCCAGGACTTATATTCCAGGGCTACACAGAGAAAGCCTTTCTCAAAAAAAAAAAAAAAACAACATTATATTCGTGTTAAGTATTGAAGAAGAAGGTATGACAGACTCACTCTTTCCTGATCACAAGAGATTGTGGAAAGCCTGAGTGAGAAGCGCTTACTCAGTCAAACTGCATGGTTCTCAGAGCTGGAGAGAGATGTTCACAGAGCTATCAAATCCACATGTGCTCGCAGCATCATACCCAAAAATGTGCAATAGGTTCGTCACTTGCCTACTCCACTCACCCAGACAACTGCCTGGCCATTTCCCTATCATCATCAAGCGTGTTTTACTCAAAGTTGTACAACAAGGTTAAGACTTGGATGCCTCTCAATGAGCATCTACCCTGGACAAATTCATAAACATCCTTATCCTACATTCAGAATAAATGGAAAGGTTGGGATTAGATGCTCAGGAATCTATACGAGTATCCAAAGCCTTAAGGAAAGTATTGCAATAGGTGTTCAAGACACTTCTGGGAAGGTTTTTATGCACCTGGCTGCAGAGGCCCTAGCTCTCCAAGACTCTGAAAGATGACTTTAAACAAAGCACTCTACTTTCCCACCAGACATGTCTGTCTCACAGAGGCCTGGGCTGATGGTCCTCAGTGGAAAGCAAGTCTTGCCCCAAAGTGGACACTTTAATGGTGCCTGAAGACAACTTTTGTCCTCACAACTGACCTTAGTAGGTAGAAGCCAGAGAAATATGCTGGGAGGCACAGGCCTGCCTCCACAGCAAAGGAGCTATCTGGCCCAAGCTGTCAAGTGACCAGGTTGAAAGCCCCTGGCCTAGAACAAATCCCAGCACCTTGGACAAAGCATGCCCTCAGCTCTCCTCCAGCTGAGGGACAAGGGCCAACTGGAGCTTCAGGAAGGAGCCTAAAAGAATCTTTTCTCAGGCCCCAACTGAGAAGGGGGGGGAGTGCCTGCAGACTAGTTCCTTCTGCTTTGCCTTCAGAGCACAAAACCCTGGCATCTGAAGAGATTAAATAGAAATCCAGGATTCCCAACCCCTTGGGCTGTACAACCCTGCCCCTCATATCCTATTTCTCTCCGGCACCCCCTCACTCTTAAACACAGTTTGAAATTCAAATCGCAATCTTTACTGTCTGGCCCTCAAAAGCTTGGCCTAGCCCGCTTCCTTTCCCTGGGACAAAGTCTTCTGGACAGGTACTGCCTCTCTTTCAGATGACCCCAACCTTGCTTCATACACCAATTGTAAGTTTTTCTTTCCCTTCTCCCTCCTGTGCCTCTCCTTCCTTCTCTTTGTAATTAAACAGTATCCAGGGTGTCAGGGCAGAGAGGAAAAGATTCTGAAGACTTCCGTGCTGCAGGTCCTGGGATCCTATAGCTCTGTGGGTTTTGTGAGGTGCCAACCACGCTGTGATCATTAAAGCCCATGGTGGTGGCGGGGGTGGGGTGGGGGCAGGCGTAGCTTTCTTGTTTCTGTTAACCTGGGAGCTGGCTACATCCGTGTTTATCAGAGTCC